AAGCTATGGAAAGCAGTGTGATGTGGCTGGAATGCAAGATGCCAGGTTGGAGTTGGAGTCACTTAGTTAAGTGTAGACAATCAACAAAACAATTAATCAAGTCCTGTAACATTTGCTGATTTCCTAGGCAGAAATGCTGTCACCATGGGCAATTTCAAGCTACCAATCTAGCATCACTAAACACAGAATTAGGGAGAGATGTTCAGTGGCTTGTCATTATAAAGTATTTCTACCATAGAGATACAGTAGAAGGAAATAACCTCAGTAACACAGATATTAGTGAAGTATAGTAAAGTAGTTAGAAAGCCACGAGTTTGGGGTATTTATTGTTTGTCTTTAACATACCTATTTAACTGTGAGTTTATATAATGTAATTTTTAATGATGACTATGTTTAACAACTAGGTCACACAATTCCCAAAATTTTAACAATTGGCTCATATGAACTAGTACTAGCATATCTGTTTATATCTTACATCATCTGTAATATGGGGATATCAGCAGTGTCCATTTCATAGAGTCTTCAGGGTTGAATGGATTACTAGAAAGGGCAAATAAAACACATGCTGTCATACAGAGAGTGTTTTATAGGTGTTTGCTATGATGGTTATTATTCAACTTGAGCCAAAAACAATGTCATTTTCACATCTGATTAGTTTGAGAGTATCCAAAAGAGCCATGACTTTGGGTTAGGCCCTAGTCACTCTGTAGATTACTTTTTTTTTTTTTTTTTTGAGATGGAGTTTTGCTCTTGTTACCCAGGCTGGAGTGCAATGGAGCGATTTCAGCTCACTGCAACCTCCGCCTCCTGGGTTCAGGCAATTCTCCTGCCTCAGCCTCCTGAGTACCTGGGACTCCAGGCACGTGCCAGCATGCCCAGCTAATTTTTTGTATTTTTGTAGTAGAGACAGGGTTTCACCACGTTGACCAGGATGGTCTCGATCTCTTGACCTCGTGATCCACCTGCCTCGGCCTTCCGAAGTGCTGGGATTACAGGCGTGAGCCACCGCGCCTGGCCACTCTGTAGATTACTTAATTAGCATTAAATGAAAAGTAAAGCAGTTAGGATAGTGCTTGACACATAGAAAGCACTACATAAATAAAAGATACAATTTTATAGTAGTAGTTTTATTCATTATTATCAAGACCACATGGCTGGGTGTGATAGCTAATGCCTGTAATCCCTGCACTTTGGGAGGCCATGGCGGGTGGATCATTTGAGGTCAGGAGTTCGAGACCAGCCTGACCAACATGGTGAAACACCGTCTGTACTAAAAATTCAAAAAATTAGCTGGGTGTAGTGGCACCCGCCTATAATTCCAGCTACTCGGGAGGCTGAGGCTCGAGAATCACTTGAACCCAGGAGGTGGAAGTTGCAGTGAGCCAAGATTGTACCACTGCATTCCAGCCTATGTGACAGAGTGAGACGCCATCTCAAAAAAAAAGACTATTTATTTTTTAAAAATTGTAGCTGGTGTTTTACTCATCCACAAGGAAATAATGGTCAATAACCATTCACCTTTTCTAAAATATCATTTCCCCTGAGTTCAGGGGAATATGTAACAGCTATTCTCTCACCAGACACAGAGGTCTAAAGCTGTACCTTTGTGAGGCAGTGATATGTGTGTGTGTGTGTGTGTGTGTGTGTGTATGCTCATGGAAGCAAAGGATCATTTAATTAGCATAAAAAATAACGGTAGAATAAAGATAAAGGTCTGAATGTAGTCCTGCTAATTGTTCATCAACTTGTCTCATTTACTTGACTTTGAGCTACTTGAAGGCAGGGACCATGTCCAAGCCATTAACAGGCTTCAAATGCTCCTCCCAACTTTGGCAAACAACCAAGCTAGTTTTAGACTTAGTGATATCTCTTCTTTTCATAAGGTACTATAGGACTTTTCAAGGGCTTGTGTCTGTTATCCACCTGTGGAAAAGAAGTATGAAAAACAAAACTTAAAAAATAAATCTGGCTTGGTGAGGTGGCTCACACCTGTAATCCCAGCACTTTGGGAGGCTGAGGCAGGTGGATCACCTGAGGTCCAGAGTCTGAGACCAGCCTGGCCAACATGGTGAAATTCTGTCTCTAGTAAAAATACAAAAAATTAGCCAGGTATGGGGGGAGGTGCCTGTAATCTACTCAGGAGGCTGAGGCAGGAGAACCAGGGAGGTGGAAGTTGCAGTGAGCCGAGATTGCACCACTGCACTCTAGCCTGTGCAACACAAGCGAAACTCCGTCTCAAAAAATAAAAATGAAAATAAAATAAATAAATAAAACTATGTCTGGCCAGGCATACAGTGGTTCACATCTGTAATCACAGCAATTTGGGAGGCTGAGGCGGGAGGATCGCTTGAGCCCAGGAGTTTGAAACCAGTCTGGGCAACATGGCAAGACCTTGTCTCTACCAAAAAAAAAAAAAAAAAAAAAAAGTTGCAAGGCATGGTGGCACACACCTGTAGTTCTAGTTACTAGAGAGGCCCGAGGCAGGAGGATCACCCGAACCCAGGAGGTTGAGACTGCAGTGAGCCTCGATGGAGCCAGCCTGGGTGACACAGTGAGACCCTGTCTCCAAAAACAAAGAAACTATGTCTACAAATTCTAGCACTGTGTAAATATTATGTCAAATAATTTTTATTTATAAAAATTTCATTAGGTGTGAAAATAATCTGCGGGGTAAATTTGCTCACTTTGCAAAAATTTCAGAGTACCTCTGATTTCTGGTAAATTTAGTCAATCATAAATTAAATGAGTTCCTGGAAGCCCAACAATTCCAAAACCAAAATCATGAGTCTTAGTCCTTTCCTTTCCTTTTTCCTTTTCTTTCCTTTCCTTTCTCTTTCTCTCTCTCTTCCTTCCTTCTTTTTTTTTTTTTTTTTTTTTTTTTTTTTTTTTGAGATGGAGTCTTACTCCTTCACCCAGGCTAGAGCGCAGTGGCACAATCTCAGCTCACTGCAATGCAACCTCCACCTCCAGGGTTCAAGCCTCAGTCTCCCAAGTAGCTGGGACTACAGGCATGCACCACCACACCTGGTTAGTTTTTATATTTTTAGTAGAGATGGGGTTTCAACATGTTGGCCAGCCTGACCTCAAACCCCTGATCTCAAGTGATCTGCCCACCCTCGACCTCCCTAAGTGCTGGGATTACAGACGTAAGCCACCATGCCCGGCCCAAAATTATAAGTCTTTCAAAAATTTTACATCAAAAAGGTGATATTTAATATTGAATTTGAGTGCATTTAAATAAGATAGTGACCGTAGAATAGGGACTGCAGAGTAAGAGTGCTCAGACCCATAGGGGTTTAATATAGCCCTACCTCTAAGAATCCTTTCTGTTCCTCACCCAGGTGAACTAATAATCGCTGTCTACTGGTTCCTCTAAAAACCTTGGGGGCCGTGGCAGGGTGTGGGCTTAGGACTAATCTGATTACGTGTCTTCCCAGGTGGTTTCTGGGCTCTATCAGGAACAACCCAGGTGTGATCATTATTTTCCCCTGTGCTTAGCGTGGGGTCGGTGCGCACATGCACACGTAAAGTCAGTAAATGGTGGATAAAACGAAAGGCAGTCAAGATTCACCTGCTGAATGAACGTCTATCAGTAGCACTGTCATCTTTCTTGCTTCCTTCTTTTTTTGCATATGTTGTTTGAGCTGTTCATTCAACCAAGGAGAGAGCATACTCTACCTTGGGCAGTGTGCCAGCCTTGCACAGAGGGACAGATGATTCAGCTTGATCGGGCTGTGACAGAGAAAAGCTCAGGGTCTGAGAACGCAGAGGAAGCGACTAACCCAGAGTGGAGGTCAGGTGAAGCTCCCCGGGGGAAATGAAGTTGTGTCCCCCTGAAAAGCAGCAGAAAGTTTGGGATTGGGGAGAAGCTGGTCTCTGTGAGAGAAACAAAGGCCCCAGGCAGAGCCAATAGTCTTCCAGATAACGAAAATCACTTTAGAGAGCCTAGTTTAGAATTTGTGAAGGAGGGGTCAATGCTGCTAAAGAGATTGAAAAGGGAGTCAGATTTGTAAACCATTTAAGGATTTTTTTTTTTTTTTTTTTTTTTTTTTTTTTTTTTTTTTTTGAGATGGAGTCTCTCTATCGCCCAGGCTGGAGTGCAGTGGCGTGATCTCGGCTCACTGTAACCTCCGCCTTCCGGGTTCAAGCGATTCTCCTGCCTCAGCCTCCCGAGTAGCTGGGACTGCAGGCACGCGCCACCATGCCCGGCTAATTTTTTGCATTTTTAATGGAGACGGCGTTTCACCGCCTTAGTCACGATGGTCTCGATATCCTGATCTCATGGTCCACCCGCCTTGGCCTCCCAAAGTGCTGGGATTACAGGCATGAGCCACCGTGCCTTGCTTAAGGATTATTTTAAGGACAGCCTTGAGGAGACATTGAAGGTTTTAACAGAAGAATAACATGATCCAATTTAGTTTTTAAAAAGATAACTCCGTCAACTGTGCAAACAGTGGATTGGATGTGGGCAATGATCAACTCAGGAGCAGCTGAGAGTCTATTGCAGGAGAGTGAGTGAGGGATGATGGTGGCTTGGACTTCGGTGCTGGGACTGCAAAGAAATGGAATAATCTGATACACAACTGGAAGAATCTCTCTGGCTGTGATGTGGGAGGATAAGGAAGTGATTGGAGCGGTAGGGAGGGTTCATTAACGAGCTAGGACTTTATTTTGAAGGGATAAACGGGACCCCTTTTAACATTTTAATCTTGGGACTGATCTATTCCGATATGGGTTTATATAAATAGACCGCTCGGCAAAGGGTGGTGAGAAGACTGTCAGACAGTGCACAGGTAAGAACTGAGACCTAGACCGCGCGGGCGCCGTGTATGTGGTGAGGCGCCCGAGACGGAAGACTGGTTTCGGAGACAGGTACCGAGCCACGCAGCCAGAGAAGCGAAAATTGACGCAGCCCCAAGAACAGCTGCGGGGGGTGGGGGGATGGGCGCCGCCGGAGCCACCCTTGCCTCCCGGCGCCGGGGGCGGGACCAGAGCACGCACGGCGCGATGACGTAGGGCCTGAGCCTGCCTCGTTGTGGCTGCCGCCGCCGCGCTGAGGCGGAGTAGGATGAGGCCCGCGGCCGTGGCTCCGGCGTCGGCGGGGGCAGCAGCAGCTGAGGCAGCAGCTGAGGCAGCCGCGACGGCCGCGCCCCCCCCTCCTGACCTGGATTAGGCCCAGCAGCTCCGTGGCCGCCGCCGCCCCGCGGGGGGGCGGGGTGGGGAAGTGCTTCGTCTCCCCGCCCCCCCCCCCCATCGCCGCCTCGCAGGAGGCAACCGCCGCGACCCCAGCGGAGCCCGCGGCCCAGCCTTGAGCCCCCACCCCCGGGGGCTGGCATGAGCGGCCCCTCGGCGGCACCGCGGGGCGGTGGAGTCACCTCCGCCTGATCGCCGGCCTGCCGCCCGACCCCACCTCGCCGACCGAAGCTGACCGCGGAGCGTGCGAGCGACCCCACCGCTGCTTTCTCCTCCCCCAGATCACGCACCGCAGCTCCGGAAGATGGGGAACTGCCTCAAATCCCCCACCTCGGATGACATCTCCCTGCTTCACGAGTCTCAGTCCGACCGGGCTAGCTTTGGCGAGGGGACGGAGCCGGATCAGGAGCCGCCGCCGCCATATCAGGTAGGGGAGGGTGTGTTGGAGGGAGCGAGGAGTAGAGGCAGCTCTGGCGGAGACTGAGCGGGGCTTGGGGCGGTCTCTGCCCCTGGCTTCGGCAGGGCCTGGCCTGGGCGGCACTGACCCCCTGAGGGCTGGATCTGAGGACGTTTGCTCTCCGTTCGCAGAGTAGGGTTGGTCCTTCGCCTCCCCTCGGGCACCGTGTGGGGATGGTACCCTCTGCCCTTGAGTTCTGGGATCAGAGAATGCGATCACATCCCCGGGGCCAGTGTCTGCTGGTTCGCTCGTGGAGTTTGGGAGTGACATTTTCCTGCCTTTATGTCTGAATCGTGTGATTTCCTCGTCGCACCGCCAACTGGATGATGGGTTCTGGGTTCTGGATAGGTGGTTGCCAAGCACCCCCCCCACCCCGCCCCATTTATGTTTTCCTGTGTGGTCATCCTCTTACCCCCTCCCTCGTCTTTGTTAATTGGATCTGGCAGGTCTTCATTTCTCCCTCAGCTTCGGAGACTGATCTCCCAAGTGATTTTAGCCCTACCGACATCGAGTTACTTGTTTATGTATATACACGTATGTATAAATGTTAAGCCCTCCTCCTTTTGCTCCACCCATATGACACACCTTTTAAACGTGCTGACTTAAGAAAACTTGATGAGCTTGAACTTTGGAAACCTTTAAACCTGACTTGGGAAATTCCATCGGTTACTTGTGGTGTTCTTCCTTTGTATCAAAGACTCCTAAATAGCTTTTACTGATTTTTGTGCAACAATCAGTGGTCCCAGATGTGTTACAGAATTAGACTGACTACTTCTTAAACTCAAAATAGGTATGTGGATGTTTAATCCATAATACATATGTAAAAACATTTCCTGTACTTTTTCCATTTAGGTGATATTGAATACAATCTTTCAGAGGGCTTCAGTAGTAGTACTTAATTTTTTCCTGAAGAGTTTAGTTTTCTGACTGGGCATTCTCCTTTGTTTCATGTGGTGACATCATTACCTAGTGTTTTCTTTTCTCATTCCTCTGCAAACCAGTGTCTCATCACACCAGAAAAACCTGATCATATATGCTGGTTTTCTGAATAAAATTCCTCTGGGGCATTTCATGTATACCGGTAAAGTCCAGTCTTGGTTGTGGCATACAGAAGCCTCCATGGCTTCTCTCTCTTACGTTCTATATTCCAGGCCTACTAAATACACCAGGCTGTTCACACCTTTGTTTTGCTCCAGTTGCTCTCTGTTTGGAGCCCTTCCCCCAGGTCAGCCAGGTGGACGTCTAATCCTCTTTGAGAACTCGAGCTTTCATATCTGAAGTCCCAGCATTCCCTTCCCTCCCAGCCCGAATCCCTTGTTTGTGTCCCCACTGAAACCACTACACTTCCATAAGCAATATCTATAACACTTCAGTGTTGTATCTTTGTTAGATGTGTGTCTCATCTTTGTATTTGCCTTCTTCAGTGCAAGCTGCATGAAGGTAGGGAATCTATTTCTGGTTTGCTGTTGTATCCCTCACGTCTGCCTCAGTAGGTAGTAACTGGGAGATAAATTATGAGTAAAAACCCTTGAAAACAGGGACTCTCCCCTCACTCAATTTCTGACACATAAGCACCTAAATGAATGGATTAACGAAGTTGAATTCAGTTATTTTCTGTATTTACACAACTATTTTTTCCAAAGTACATTGTCACAAGGATAGTCTCTAAAAAGCTTACTCTGGGCGGGGTACAGTGGCTCATGCCTATAATCCCAGCACTTTGGGAGGCTGATGTGGGAGGATCACCTGAGGCCAGGAGTTTGAGGCCAGCCTGACCAAATGGAGAAACCCAGTCTCTACTAAAAATAAAAAATTAGCTGGGCATGATGGCACATGCCTGTAATCCCAGCTACTTGGGAGGCTGAGGCAGGAGAATCGCTTGAACCTGGGAGGTGGAGGTTGCAATGAGCCGAGATCGCCCCACTGCACTCCAGCCTGGGCAACAAAGAGTGAAACTTTGTCTCCAAAAAAAAAAAAGCTGAATCTAGATGTCTTTACAAGTATTTACAAGTACCTTTGAGTGAAGCAAGCAAGCTGTGTTTATATTTCAGTCTCTTTCCCTCCCTTATTTACTATATAACAAAAGTGGTTATTTCCTTTTTTTTTTTTTTTTTTTTTTTTTTTTGAGATGAAGTCTTGTTAATGTTGCCCAGGCTAGAGTGCAGTGGCATAATTTCGGCTCACCACAGCCACTACCTCCTGGGTTCAAGCAGTTCTCCTGCCTCAGCCACCCAGGTAGCTGGGATTACCAGCATGTGACACCACGCCCTGCCAATTTTGTATTTTTAGTACAAATGGAGTTTCTCCTTGTTGGTCAGGCTGGTCTCAAACTCCCAACCTCAGGTGATCCACCTCAGCCTCCCAAAGTTTTGGGATTACAGGCATGAGCCACCACACCTGGCCACGTCTACACAATTTCACCATGTTGGTCAGGCTGGTCTTGAACTCCTGACCTCAAACAGTCCACCTGCCTTGGCCTCCCAAATTGCTGGGATTACAGGTGTGTGCCACCGAATCTGACCTGAAGTTTTTATTTTAAATATCTTATGCTCCCTACCCTCACCTGCTTCTCTTTTTAAAAAAATTGGAGACAGGGGCTCCTATGTTGCTCATAGGCTGGTCTTGAACTCAGCCTCAAGCAATTCTCCTGCTTCCTACCCTCTTTGTTTCCAGGCAGATTGAATGTCGTTGGCTTGTTCTCTTTCTCCTACCCTTATGACAATTGTAGTATTAAAGATACCAAAGTTTATGGAAACTGTGTTTGCCTTTTCCGGAAGGACTAGATGATGATGAGAGATGAGGGGTTTTTGGTGTCAAGACGGAACTTTTTTTTGGAAATGTTATATTTTTCACAGTGGGAGGTTTTTGTTTGTTTGTTTTGAGACAAGAGTCTCACTCTGTCATCATGCTGGAGTGCAGCGGTGCGATTTTGGCTCACTACAACCTCCACTCCCGGGTTCAAGTGATTCTCATGCCTCAGCCTCCCAAGTAGCTGGGATTACATACCCAGCTAATTTTTTGTATTTTTACTAGAGATGGGGTTTCACCATGTTGACCAGGCTAGTCTTGAACTCCTGGCCTCAGGCAGTCTGCCCACCTTGACCTCCCAAAGTGCTAGGATTGCAGGTGTGAGCCACCGTTCCTGGCCGACAGTGGGAGTTTTTTATGGTTGCACTCTCCTGAAATGAGTGACACAGAGTAATACAAATTCAGTATCAATTGGAAGAAAATTACTTTAAAAGCATAAAAAGAAACTTTTGTAGAAAAAATATTGTCCTCACCCCAAAAGAAATAAGGTCTGTTTTACGAATGGTTATTTTAAATGATCTGAGAAACATCAATCCAAGGTTATTTATTCATTTATTTGAGTTGGGAATCTCCTTCTGTCATCCAAGCTAGAGTGGATTGCTCACTTGGCAGCTTCAGATTCCTGGCCTCAGGTGATTCTCCTGCCTCAGCCTCCCACAGACTGGGATTACTGGTGTGAGTTACCTCACACAACCAATTTATAGTATTTTTAGTTGATAAAAGTAACTTTTTCAACAAATTGTAGTTAACAAATTGTAGTTAATTGTAAAGGAACAGGTTCTCTTGAGGTGAGCAGTTAAAAGATGTCATCGTTTGCTGCTTTATATGTAAAATACGAATATAATGACAAGAGCCAGTTCCAGTTATTTCCTATTGACATCTGACAAATTTGTTTTTATTTATTTTTGCCTAAAAGTAAACCCTGTACTATGAAGATCTAAGTTTGTAGGAAGTGCATATTTTTCTCCTTGGTTTCTTTTGTAGCCTCCTAACTGGTCTTCCTGCTTTCACCCTTGTCTTCGCTAAGGCCTGTCTTCAACACAGCAGCTACAGTTATTCTGCTAAACCTGAACATGACAGTCTGTCCAACCCTCTGTGGATCTTTGTTTCATTCAAAGTAAAAAATCAAATTCCTTACAGTGTCCCATAAACCATATGTAATCTGTACCCCTTGACACCTACAACTAACTCCTTTATTGGCTTCCCTCCTCCAGCTTACCTGGCCTCATTGCTGTTCTAGGACCTTTGCCCTCCTTATTCTTATGCTTAGAGTACTCTTGCCCAGGTTTCAGGGCTGTCTGACTCCCTCACCTCCTTCAAGTCTTTTCTTAAATACCACCATAAACCTTCTCTGACCACCCTATTTAAAATTGCAACCTGCCCTAATACCCTTTTCTGTTTTTTCCCCCAATACCATTTATTACTTTCTAACACACTATCTTACGTTGTCTATTATCTGTCTCCTCCCACTAGGTGGAAAGGAGGAAAGGGGATTTTTTTAAAAATTGGTATTTCCTAAGTGCTTATAACAGTGGCTGGCACATTTTAGGCACTGAGTAATTTGGTTGAATGAATGAATAGATTTCTTTTAAATGAACTAATGTATTTGAGGCAGGTATAGTTGAACGTCTTACAAGAACTCTGCATATTCCTAGTGCCATTTTTGCTTCTATATCGTAGGTCATTTTTGTTTGTTTTTCGTTTCAGTGCATTTTACGGGATAAACCTGTAGTGTACACTAAAAATGGTATATTAATGCTTCATTTTCCTGTGTGTCTCTGTGTTACCCAGGCTGGTGTCTGTGTCTGCCTGTCTGTCTCTCTCCCTCTCTCTTTCTCTTTCTCTCTGTCTCTCTCTATGTGTATATATATATATGCATGCTTGAGTTTTTTTGTTTGTTTGTTTGCTTTCTTTTTTGTTTTCGAGACCAAGTCTCACTCTGTTGCCCAGCCTAAAGTTCAGTGGATTGATCTCAGCTCTGCCTCCCAGGTTCAAGTGATGCTCCTGCCCCAGCCTCCTGAGTAGCTTGGACTACAGGCATGTGCCACCTAAGGCCAGCTAATTTTTGTGCTTTTGGTAAAGATGGAGTTTCACTATATTGACCAGTCTGGTCTCAAACTCCTGATTTCAGGTGATCTGCCCGTCTTGATGTCCCAAAGTTC